TCAGAAATTATCAGAAATTATCAGAAATTATCAGAAATTATCAGAAATTATCAGAAATTATCAGAAATTATCAGAAATTATCAGAAATTATCATAAATTTATCAGAAATTATCAGAAATTATCAGAAATTATCAAAAATTATCAGAAATTATCAGAAATTATCAGAAATTATCAGAAATTATCAGAAATTATCAGAAATTATCAGAAATTATCAGAAATTATCAGAAAATTATCAGAAATTATCAGAAATTATCAGAAATTATCAGAAATTATCAGAAATTATCAGAAATTATCAGAAATTATCAGAAATTATCAGAAATTATCAGAAATTATCAGAAATTATCAGAAATTATCAGAAATTATCAGAAATTATCAGGAAATTATTAGAAATTATCAGAAATTATCAGAAATTATCAGAAAATTATCAGAAATTATCAGAAATTATCAGAAATTATCAAAAATTATCAGAAATTATCAGAAATTATCAGAAATTATCAGAAATTATCAAAAATTATCAGAAATTATCAGAAATTATCAGAAATTATCAGAAAATTATCAGAAATTATCAGAAATTATCAGAAATTATCAGAAATTATCAGAAATTATCAGAAATTATCAGAAATTATCAGAAATTATCAGAAATTATCAGAAATTATCAGAAATTATCAGAAATTAATTATCAGAAATTATCCCGATTTATCCAAAAAACCATACATTGGAATTTCTTTTGGTTGTTATGGAAAAAAATAAAAGATTTTGCAAGCCTAACAACCATAGAAGGCATTTACTTATTAGGTTTGTTCCCGAAGCGAGTTCCTAACATATTGGGTATCCGCAGTACAAAATAACTGTTCCAGCAGAGCAAAGTTCCAAACAAAATTGAACTTGTTTGGTGTTTACGCAAGATTAAAAACTTGTTCATAACGCATTTGTTATTTGTTATTAGTTCTAATAGTTCCTAAGTAAAATACGAATTTTTACTTTCGCGCATGCGTGCTTATTTAAAATCATTTTTCTTCTTTTACTCCTTTGTTAATAATTGGATTTTTGGTTCGTTTTTTGAGTGCCCATTATCTTTAATTTTAATTAAAATCTTACACAGCGTTGTTAAAGCAAAAAATATAATAAGGAGGGTAGTTTTTGTTTATGCAATTTTGAGTTGATCATAAAGTATAACCTCAAAATCTTCTTTTTTTTTTAATAAATATAATCGAATGACCTGTAATTAGTTAAAACACTAAGCAACATTAATTTTTTTAACGTTCCAGCACACATTTATTCAGAACTCATTCCGAACATTATTCTGCTCACGCATGCGTTGTAACAAGTTTGGAACTCGCTTCGGGAACAAACTTATTTATTTCTCTATATTTACATTTCCATGAGACAATATTAATTGTATTGGAATATAGTCATAAAAAACTTGGTAAAATACGGCAGCGTAGAAGGGCCACACTTTTTTATTTTTCCGTGTTTGAACATGTTGGGGAGGGATTGGTAAATACGTTTTTTTTTTAATATTCTCAGATTTTTAGTTCTGTCGCCTTTTAAAAAGACGGATGGCGTAAGTAGTACCAACAGGCTTGCCTCTTTGGCCCTTGCATAATATTTTTCCTTTAATTTCATTTCCAGGTTAATCTTATTTATTAGGGTCTAGTCCCTGATGCTCAAATTTTATTTGACACGGATCAAAATAACGCCCTGTATACCGTTTTAAATTTACCCTCCTTGCCTCTCTAGTCCAGATGATAAGAGAGGGGCAAAGTGTGGTAGTGTTTTCCAAATCCAATTATTAGTTATTTGTAGAAAGAAGGAGGACCGGTTAAACATTTTTTTGTTTGTGTTTCTATTAAATAATACTATTAAAAATGGTGGTGCTACTTAAAAAACTGATGAGGTCATATTTCGAAAAAATGATGACAAGTCATAAAAAGATACACCAAAATATGCGCATTTACAAAACAAAATCCACTTCTGAATGGAAATGGACAAATAGGTATGTCGCGTCGTGTATGTAAACCAATGGTCAAACATTTCGGTGTCAATCGTTTTTTACCTCCACTCCCCTTCAGCCTTCAAGAGTTAATTTAAGATAAAATGTAGAGTATTTGGGACCAAATTATGAGGATTCTCAGAGCATTAGTATTCCCTCCCCCCGAATTTCCTAAATTTCCCGTCCTGTATACATGCCGTTAAAAAATATTGCACGTTTATAGAATTCCGTTTTTAAACAAGGAATTACTAATTTCCGTGTTGGAATACGGAATTCCGTGTAAGAAGAGGGAAATCTGTAATTCCGTGTTCAAACACGGAAATCCTTGTTCAAACAAAAAAGTCCTTGTTCAAACACGGAAATTCCTTGTTCAAATACGGAATTCCATATTAAAACATAGAATTCCGTATTCAGACATGAAATTCCTTGTTCTTATATGAAATTCTTTGTTTGAACACGGAAATTTGGGATTCGAACGCGGAATTTTAGAGGAATACCTAGTTTGGATACGGAATTCCGTGTTTTAACATGGAATTTCGTGTTCGAATACGGAATTCCCTGTTTGAATACGGAATTCCGTGTTCGAATAAGGAATTTTAAAAATAAAAAAAAATGTGGCCCCTCGATGCTGCCGTAGTAAAAACTACCTATAGCTGAATGATAAAATAAAAAAAAACATTGACGATACTGTCTTCAAAATGCAAAAAAAAAATAAGATGACTATTATATAATTGTTCAATATTTATACATGTCTTTAGAACTCGAGGTAATTTGTTATAAATGCCTATATAATTTGGCGAACAATAGGTTACTTCCCCCTGGCCAAGAGCAAATTAAGAACATAGTTCTGTCTCGTTGGATAACTGTGATATTCATTATTGTTGAAATTTTTTTTTAAGTGTTTTCGAACAAAGACACAATTGAAAAGTATTTAGTTTTTTAAAGTATTACTTAGGTCTACGAATATTCTTAATGTAGCGAATAATGTTTTTTTCTACACCCACATGGATATTAGCTTATCTACGTACAGATTACAAAAAGAAAAAATTTGCTATTGCCTTCAACTAAACGAATATATTTCATATCCATTCTAGGTAGTGAGAACACTCCAAAAAAAAAATGAAATCCAACAATCACCGTTCATATTTTGATCAACAGACTGCTATTATTTTTAAAATTTTAAATAAGTGACAATTCTGTCAAAGTAATTTTCAGTATATTTTTTAGTTATTGAGATTAAACATACATTAAAATGGGTAATTCTTCTGTAGCATTTCTGTTTTTATTTCGTCTATAATTATAAATAATTTTTTGTCTACGGCGTCGCGTCGTGCTAAAATTTCGTCTTCATGTGATATGGCAATCATATCCACTCTTGTTGCAAAAACTACTATTCTGCACTATGAAGACAGAGGGTGCACTTGTGACATTACCCAAGAGACAGACACCATAACATAACCTGGAGTCGTTTTGTGCATAGTATAATGATAATAGTTGCGATATTTCAACAACGTTCCTCATATTAAGAAAAATAAACTTCAGTGAGTTTAATTTTTAAATTAATTTCTCACAGTGGTACCTCCAGTTAAGATTTTCGTATAATAAGATGCCTAAAAATTTGACACTACTGTGGCTGTCAGTCATTAATGACTTATTAACTGAGAAATATATACCATTAACTTTATTTTGATTAAGAATTTCGATTTTTCGCTATTACAAAATAAGCAACTACTGTTAAAGAATGTTCTTACATTAGTTAAAATCAGTTCACATTTTGTCTCAAGAATTTCAGTGGATTTATCAGTAACAATTATAGAAAAGTCATCGGCATAGACTATAGAAATTATTTTTCATAATTGATTCTATATGGTTAACATATAGGAGGAATAGCATTGAACCTAAAATTGATCCCTGTGGCGCACACATCTGAACTGACATCAGAATTAAAATTTTGGTATAGATTTTTACTGGTGGGTTTTATGGATACAAACTGAGATCTTCCTTTTAGAAATAAAGCTATCCAAGAATAAGGCCTGCCTCTTACCCCTTTGTTCTCTAATCTGGACAATCAAATATTGTAATTCAAACAGTCAAATGTTTTACCGAGATCACAAAAAATAACAGCAGGGCTTACCCTTATCAACATGTTCCATACTTTTTTCGTAAAAGGAAAATAAAACAGTGGTAGTAAACATGGAATTCCTAAAGCCATGTTGGTTACTACTGCTTAAAAGTTATTTAAAAATTATATTTATCTGTCGAGATATCGTAACTGGTATGTTATTTAATTATTAATATTTTTTGTAAAATTTTTCGTTTTTTTTTAAACTACACAAAAGAATTATTAAGCAGAAAAGTAATGAGAGATATAACTAAATTAAGGACTCTTTTTATGAGAAAACAAGAAACCTCGTCACTCTCTGTCGTTTTTTGTTTTTAATTTTACATATTTTTATTAAGCAGATTATACAATTCATCTTCAGTAAAAGGAAAAAGAAAAAGACTGTATTAAAATCAATGCATGTTTTATAAGATATTGAAGGTGTATTTTGTACTATGTTAACCGGCTCATTGACAAAAAAATTATTAAATTATTTTACAACATTTTCAGGAGCGTTTATAACACCACCGTTACTTTGAATAATTATATTTTTACTTGTTCTTATTTGATTAAAAAGTTCCTTGAGTGTATTCCAGGACGCTCGAGTAATGTTATCAGAAGAGTTAATACGATTTTGATAAAAAGTTTTTCTTTTGGAAATCATTAAACCTTTTTTTTTGCCTCATACCTTTTTTTATAGTTTTGCCACCTTTAAACAATGGTCAACAGTATCTAAATAAAATATTTAACTTATTATAAAAAGTTTATGATCAATTATAATAATTCATGAAAATATTGTAAACTAATATTATTCTTTAGCAGTATATTTTAGTTTACAACCAGAAAAAGAACTTAATATTAAACGAATTTTATTTCTTTAATAGATTATTTTAAAATCGTTTTTATTTGTTTCAGAATAACATTACAAATACCGCATCAATTGAAGTTACAATGGAGACAGAAGAAGACGACAACGATGAAAGTAAAGTCAGATAAAGGAATAATTTTCTTCAAAATGCCAATAAGACTGAAAATAATAATAATTTTATGGTATTATAGTCGACTCACAGAGGCTGTGTGCCCCCGACTCTGTGAATGCAAATGGAAGAGTGGAAAAGAAAGTGTATTTTGTGTAAACGCGAGTCTGTCCCTGGTACCGCTCCAGTTGGATGCCGGAACCCAAATTTTAGACCTAACCGGTAACAATATATCTACAATAAAACACGAGGAATTCAGTAAAGCCGGTCTGGTAAATTTACAAAAAATATTTCTCGTCAAATGTCGCTTAAAAACTCTGGAAAGGTATTCCTTCAAATACTTAATCAATTTAGTAGAGCTGGATTTGAGTTTTAATTTATTAAACAACGTACCCTCCCATACATTCGATTCTATCACAGAATTACGGGAGCTTAAGCTAAACGGAAATTCAATTCAAAAAATTTTTAACGATGCTTTTCTACACATTCCTCAGTTAATCAGATTGGAGATTTCAGACTGCAAATTGTCGTACATAGAGGCCAGAGCTTTTACTGGCTTGGAAAAATCTTTGGAGTGGCTTAAATTGGATAACAATAAACTCACAGACGTTTTACCAAACTCTTTCACCAATTTACAAAGTTTGCACGGCTTAGAACTGGAAGGTAACCCGTGGAATTGTTCTTGTTCGCTTAGACCGCTACGTGAATGGATGTTGAGGAAAAATGTACCGTTTGGTATACCGCCGATATGCCATAGTCCTAAGCGGTTGTATATGAAAACGTGGGACAAATTGGACTTGGACGAGTATGCTTGTGTCCCAGAGATTTTTGCTTATGACAGTAAGGCGTACGGAATTGAAGGAAAAAATATTACTATGACATGCAGGATAGCAGGAATTCCAGAACCAAATGTCAGATGGCTGATGAAGAACAAAGTGATAGCTAATCTTTCTGGTGCTTCGTATTCAGGTAATTTTATAAATATTTTTATTTACAAAAAATCTTTAACCCTTTCGGTACGGCTCCTATTATAGACGATTTTTTCTCATAGACGATGGAATTCACTGATCTGTATTATTTTACTGGATATGATATAGGCTATATTTAACATACTAAAAAATCGTTCCACCAAGGAGACCGGAAGTGCAATAATGCTGGCCGATTTGGGCAAATTATGGTGGGTTCACAGAACTGAAATTTGGGATAATTTGACATACCTAACCTATAATTTGATTAGTTTTTCTTCTTATTCTTCTTCTATTCCTTTTGCGGGCGATGTCCTTCGGGAAATTTCACCCATGATTTGATTTTTTATGAAAGAAAATATAAAAATGGAAACGTGAAGCATATTGTGTCTTCAGGAATGAACGTTTATTGTTTATTTCATACTCTTTTTACTTTGTTTTCCACAATAAAAACATCTCATCGTAGCTTGTTGACAGAATTAAATGACAATTGTGATGACAAATGGAAATAGAGGTTACGTTAAATAACATCCGGTCCGCCATATTATTTGCCCAAATCGGCCAATTTTTCGCAACGTTTTTTAGGGGGCTATATCCTATCCAGTAAAATAATACAGATCAGTGATGGAATTGCAATGCTAGACAGACGAGTGACGGATATAACCGTCAGATGCCAAATGAGCACATGTTACATACTTTCATTTTACGGAGAATGGTCGCACTGCGCAGCTTTCTGAGTGCCTTTTAAAAGGAGATAGAAAACTCCGCCTTTTTACGTGTTGCCTACATCTTGGCGCAATCTTTTTAATAGGTGCGTTTTAATCATCCGCTTCTGCTTCGGTATTGTCGGTTTTCTTGTTTTAATCTGACAGGTTAAAACGACTAAACCGACAATTCCGGAAGCAGAAGCAGATGATTAAAACGCAACTGGTATTTTGCTTGCTGCTGTCAGTGTCAGTGAATATTATTTTTGGAGTCACAGTTTATTGCTAAAGAATCAGTTAGCTCACTCGGACCAGTTGAAAGTTCCAAAATAACATCTACTCTAGGAATACAAATTCAGGATGCGCAGAGAAGACTGCTGTTTTATTATAGGCGCTTGTCATATATTGTATTATCCAAGTTGCGCAGTATATCAACTGGAACATTGAGATCAAAAGTGCCGACGCAGAGTGAGCGAACTGATTCTTAAGCTATAAACTGTGGTAAAGGCATCAAAATGGTCGCGCCCTATGTTAGGCATGTCGGACCTCTCTTTTGCACCGTATAGTAATCAAAGTATGTGACATGTTAGGTTCGATTTTGTTTGGATATATGTTTAAATTAGAAAATAACCATAGATGTGTAGCAGAAGCATATTTATTCATTAAAACGTGAAATAATTCAAAGAAATTAACACTAAAAACCAATAAATAATTCTAATTGGTAACATAATAGCTAATACCTAAAACTTAATTTAAAAATTTAAAAGTTAGCCTGGCTGTGGTAAATATGGAAACAGCGTACAATGCAAAATCCAACATAGCACTCCTTGCACATGTATCTAGAGTCTCTTCTTTTCTTTTCTTGTTTTTTATGTGCGAACAAACTAGACATCTTCTTGAAGGTTTCTTCTTCTTTTCGGTTCCCGGAACGCATATCGGAAAGTGCTTTTCGGTTAATCGTGCCGAATTAAGATTCAAATCAGGCTTTGTTATTGGATGATTTGTGGAAAACCTATACAATAAAGAATATTTATCGTAACTACCTTTTAAATGAAAACGTGTACCAACCTCTCAAATGACGAATGACCTCTAACTGAAATGTACCTAATGGATTTTTTTTAGGATTTGTGGTCAAAAGTATGCCATGAGAATTAAGTAAACAAATATCCATAATGTGGAAATACCATTTTATGCTTTTACGCATACTGTAAATACTAGAAATCATCATGTCAGTACGGTCGACAGCTCCCATTTGGTTATTATATTCCACTATTCATCTGTGCTTCCGTACGTTTCCTTTAGGGGTCCTGTCTACTTTTGGAAGACTACAATTTTGTTTGCATGGATAGTGGTTATCACATGGACATCTTAACGATCTTTCCATTTTATTACCAATAGATTATCACTAGAATACCAACAAACATCTTCTTCATTTATTTTGCCTGTGAACTTTGGCATATGCTTTCTATGTGGCCGGACAGTTTCACAAGAGTTTGTTTTATTATTGAATAGAAAAGTTAACAAGTAGTAGTTTTCTGTGAAAAGCAAATGTCCTTTGTTGAGATATTGATCCATGAGCTTGGTTACAACAGCTCCCGATATACCCAAGTCCTAATTGGGTCCCAAATTTTCACTTGTATCTTTTCCCAAATATACTATGAAGTCCAATACTATTCCAGATTCGCAGTCGCATAAAACAAACAACTTAACCCCAAAACGGTGTCTTTTACTCTTTATAAACTGTTTGAAGCTAAATTTTTCTTTAAAAAGTATTAAGCTTTCATCGATAACAAGGTCCTGAAACGGGCGACATTGTGTTTGAAACCTCTCCTTTATTCGGGATAGAATGTGGCCTACTTTATAGAAGCAATTATTAGGGGACGCACTCTCATTGTCACAAAAGTGCAAATATCTTTGAATATGCAGGTATCTGTCCCTTGTCATTTTTTCCCAAAAATAAGGGAACAAAGCAGATCGTCCCTGGACCAAAATTTCTTGATATTGAGTTTTTTGTTTCTTGTCATCAGCATAGTTATACCAATTAACACGAAAAATTCGTTCAAGTCAATTGCTGTCCATTGTGGTGCATTCTGCTGAATTACTTACCTGTCTGTTTCCTCAATAATGGTAGTAGAAATAGCTTCGGTAAAAAGTTGTAAAACGATATCTATCTCCTGTTTTCCACGTAAAGCCTCATCGGTTATTCCGCTATTTTTAGTTTCAAATTCATGGACTACTGGAATAAAATTTGTAATTCTTCTTGACGGACTACAACCTAGGGTGTTGGAAACTCACCTTGGGATGTTTCAGTTTCCACAGTTTCGTCTTGGTCGGAGTCTGGACCTTCTTCAAAACTCTCACTTTCATCTGAAGGGCTTGGCATTTAGTCGCTTTTACTGCCAGGAAACGGCTTTTCTTCACTATTAGACAAATTTAGAACGTTTTTACAAAGGTTACGCACTTCAGCTTCAGACAAACTACAATACGTATCTAATCTCGCGACTTTTGCTCTGGGGCGACTGCCAGAAGGTCCGGCGTCCTCATTTCTCGACATTGCGCTTACTAAACTACTAAATTAAACGCTAAGGCGCTGTACTTCTACACTCTAAATCAATCGCCGACTGTCGGCTATTTCCGGCGGTGCCTGATATATCCGACACTCGCCTATTTGTACTGATAAATAAGTCAGTCGTCTGTATACAAGCGTAAATTATTATTAGCGACTGATTTAACCGGCAGTAGTCTGGTGAGCAATTTGAACCCGCGACGATTATATCCGTCAGTCCTCTGTTAGGCATTTTTTTGTGCCTGATTTATCCGTCATTCATACCGAAAGGGTTAATAAATAGTTAATATTAGAGCATGGACAGAGCTGTATAATTTTCACTGATAAAACCTAACACCTTATGCGGTACTGCTGCAATAAAATTAGACCTTTTTATATCAACTTATTTTTATTTTATAGAAAAATAATGACACCTATCAAGAAATGATGACAATATATAGGGTGGTACACTACACTACCCCCTCCCCAGAGACACCGTCAGGTTCTAACGTCTCGAAATCTGACAAGATTGTTTTATCTTCGTTGGTTTAGAATTGATTACCGGAGGGCAAAGTATAGGAGGTTCCATAGTATAAAATGCTGGCTTAATTCTGTCTAACGATATGTTCTTATCTTTTCCATTGACATCTAACTTGAAAAACTTGTCAAAACGAGACAAAACCTTAAATGGGCCTAAAAATTAAGGTTGCAGGGGTTTTCTAATTGAATCGTCTCATATAAAAACGTGGTTGCATTTCTTGTGATCAGAATGCACGAAACATGAACTCTGTTTGTGAACTACGGTAGGAACAGGGCGCAATTTTCTCATTTGCTCCTTTAGATGGCTTGCAAAAACTGTTTCATTCCACTCGTTACTACCGTCTAGAAAAAATTCTCCTGAGATTCTGATCTGCGTTCCAAAAACCAATTCAATAGTAGAACACTGCAGGTCTTCTTTAAAATAAGTCCTTAGTCCCAGCAGAGTAGTAGGGAGTATGTCAACCCACTTTTAAGGGTTCTATGCCACCGTTCTAGGATACCATTCGATTGAGGATAATATGCTGTGGTTATTCTCCTTTGAGTTCCAGTTATCTTAGCTAGTGTTTTGATTCGTAGTAACTGTACAAAGTGAGCCAAAAATACATATCCAGTATGCGTAAAATGCTGACACAATTATCTCTGCAGAAATGTCTTCTATTGGTACTGCTACAGGCCATCTAGTATAGCGATCGATTAGGGTAAGACAGTACCTAAATCCTTTGCAATATGGGAGGGGACCTATAATATCCAGATAAACGTGCTGGAATCTTCTGTCTGGAACTGGAAATTCTTTAAGAACACTTTTGTTGTGTTTATGGATTTTAGACTTCTGGCATGGAATACAAGATTTGTTCCAGAGAGCAATGTCTCTGCACAAGCCAGGCCGTACATATTTTCTTGAACTAATTTTACCATATTTGTTTTGTTTCTGATTCAGAAAAAATATTAATTAAATGTCGTTTGAGTGTTTCGTACTTATCTTTCTCCGGTGGCTTCATGTTAATATCGCATACGTGTTGTAGGATTGTCGTGTCTAACGAGGAAATGACTGTAAAATATTTTGTTGAATCCGACTGTACTTTGCATAACTCAAAATGAGCATCTACTTGTGCGAACCAAAGTTTTGGGTTGCTTGTCTAAAAAGGTGGTAGTTTAGCGACTCCAATTTCGTTAATACTATCTCCTCTTGAGGTAACATTTTCGCTAGTTTCATTTTTGGCTATCTCATCGAGAACGATTTCTCTTTTGCGTTGATGATGCGTTAGTCTGTTTCGGGGTCACCAAATATGCGGTACTTCCGCAATAAAATTACAGACCTTTTTATGTCTACTTATTTTTATTTTATAGAAAAATAATAACTATCAAAAAATTATGACAATTTCTAAACTTTTCTTGTATCAGACTATCTGCCTATATATAGAGTGGTACACTAAAACCTAATGTGTTAAATTTTGTACATATAAAACAATATTTGACTGTTTTGTTGAAATGACGAATTTATAGTAACTTAGCTCAATTGTGTTGAAATAATTTTAGGTATAGTTCTGTTCAAACATATGTTTCCTTTTTTTTGCATCGGTACCTCGCAGGCAGCTCCATAGTTGGACTTTAATTTAATATTATGATTTAGATTATAATTATAATTATAACTATATTTGTAAATATATCAAAAGACAAGAAAGTACCTAAATATTACATTGACTATTTAAAATCACGGTTAGAGTCCACTTAGTAAAGGAGGTGCGTGGACGGTTTCCTATAGAAACTTGTTAAAGATGCTTAGGAAATAAATATACTCAAAGTCCTGTCGTCTAGAAAGTGAGCTTTAATTGTGTAAACTTTTTTCAAATTTTAACCATTTTCCAGCTGCACGCTCCGGAAAAGTAAAAAAGTATTATTTTATACATACTTTTAAACAATATCTAAACTAGTTACAGAGCAGACCCTATAATTACTACTTAAACTTATTTTTTCCAGGAGGCAAAAAATTATACGTCGTTCATCTCAGCAACAGTTCCAGCGAACTGACCATCTTCAGTGCCGACTTACAAGACGCCGGTACTTACATTTGCTCCGCCGAAAACAAAGCTGGAAAAGCTGAAGCTAGCGTAACGCTAGCCGTGTCCAAAAAAAACCCTGAAACTGGCTTTTCCAACAAAATTTTAGTAGCAAGCATAGTGACTGGAATTTCCTTCGTTTTAATATCGTGTTTAATCTCATTGTGTATATACACGGCCAGGAAAAAACAAGTGATAAAGTGGAGAAATCGCGAGTGCCGACGTGAAGACAACTACGAAAAAATCGAGTTGAATCATAAAGTTGTGAATGTAAACGGTGGTGTAAATGTGAACCAAGAATTGATTGTGGCGGGCGAAAGACGTAATGGTGAATATATAGTTGTGCCCGGTGCGGATACCGATCAAGAAGTCGATGACGAAGAGGAAAGTAATGTTGGAGTGGCGTCTACTAAAAAAGCTAGTAAACTTTTTAAGGATGAATTCGGTGTTGAACGACAGGGATGGAATTCGCCAGAGAATTTGCTTGATCCGGAGGATCTGCATATTCCGAGGAGAACCATTCAAGAAACTAGGTAGGGTTTAATAATAATATTCTTGATTTTATTAACTTGATAGGTTATGTACAAAATATTTTAAAAGGCAGAGTTTGGAATTAGATTCCAATCTGCCACTCAACCTAAGTTAAAATTCTTAAAAGTTTTCTAATTAAAAGTAAAAACAAGCAATAACAAAAATGGTGAAGGCAGAATTAAAGGGATGAATTTCAGCGTTAAATTTTACGAGTGCCATTCGGTATAATTTGTTTTATTATGGTTTGAACGTTAAAACATACCATTTTTAGATTTTCTGCTAGGTACTAAATTATAGTATTTTCCGACATTATGTAAAAATTAACCTTGAAAGCTAGATGTTTTATGATGAGGTATTGATATAGAATTTTGTTGCCTGATATTTATGTAGGTGATTTTATTGTACAAGTTGTGTGTGTTTTTTGATTTTACTAGTTTGTGTACAAATGTAAATAAATGAAAGTCGTAGAAATGCTTTACATTTAGGCAGTTTAAGACATGACCAAATATACGGCGAATAGAGATAAGCCTTATAATAATGTTTTAGGCGGTTATTTTAATTTTTTTTTTTTTCAAATGAAGACAGTTACACAATATTAGCAAAATAAGAATTTGAAAGTACCAGAGTTTGACATAGCATCTTTTGTGTTTAAAGTGATAGAATTTCTTTATTTTCAAATATTAACTTGATGTTGTTAAACGCTTTCTTTATAATAGGATTTACATGGCTGCTAAGCTATAATGAGCTATTGATAAATAAACATAGGCTTTTTGCCATGTTCACTTTTGGTATGTCCTCATCTTTGGTCTCAATTTTTATGTTGGAGAGAACTCTTTATCGTGTTACAGTTCATCTAAAGACCATCACATTTCTTTTAGTTAGATTTCCTTTAAGGCAATACTACTCTAAAATATGTATAATATGAAATAGTTCATTATTTATCGTGTATAAAGATGGCACCCATTCCAAAGGGTAAAATGAATAACAAATTTGGGTATTATCATTAAATATGTCTTTAAATCGCGATGTATCAATAGTGAACTACCCCTAGCATAAAGCTATGCGAAACTTCAGATGTAGTATTGACTCCGTCTGATAAATTGTTCTTATATTTGATAGGTTGAGTTCATGTTAAGTAACTATAGAATAAATGGAATGATTTATCATTATGCTCAATATAATGCAGTATAGCTAAACGTACTTGGTGATTAAATATGTCAAATGTCTTTGAGTAATCTAATGATCGTAACTTTATTTTCATCAGTCGCTGCAAAATCTGCCCTAAATCCAGATACGCGTTTTAGGTGATAAAAATATAAAACAATTTAAACAAATATTGCAAAATAAATAAGTATTGGAATCGAATAAAACGGAATAGATTTTTATTAAAAGGAAGATTTACAGTCTACAAAATAAGCGCTCCGACCGTCCTTCGAAAACTTTCCGTAAAATGAGCTATTCACTGCGCCTCTTATTTTCTTCGGCCGACCTACTGAACACTCTCCTCTTTTGACCTTGAATAAAAACTCGCAACTTGGTTCAATATACGAATATAACCATTTTCAATGTTAAAATGAATCTTTACCCAATATGTTAAGAAATATATTGAACATTTTTTAACCGATTTCAATGAAATTTTAAAGGTTTGTTAATATCTTAATGGGACATATTTTGAAAATATTAGCCTCCTTTTTGTGGTGAGCAATGAAAAGAGATTAAGTTTTGCGATTATCTTAATCGGACATATTTTAAAAATATTAGCATGTATGCAAAAATAAATGTCTTTAGGCTTACCTAGGGGGCCAATATACTTTTGTACATCTATTTATTAAACAAAAAATGTTTATTTTGACGTTCCTTTTGTACCTCTTAAAGTTGATCGGTATATTTATTTTTATGTACGATACCAAAATCATTGCGATTCGTTTATTTCAAAGAACACATTTTTTACCACTCTGTACCTATACATTCATACATAAAATCAAAAAATTGTACATGCAATCTATCAATCCAAAAAGGGAAATTGTCGTGTTCATTTCCATATGTCACTAGAGAACAAAAAAGGGTCTTTCCTCATTAAATCCGCACCAACTGCGAACCCACCCACTAGACAAAACCGAATATGGACTTTATAATACGCGTTCTCATCGTGTGTTTTTGTGCTTCAGTTGTTTCAACGCACTCTAGGGTCACTAAATTAGTTGTCCTATATTGTTATTGGGTCTCTCTCTAATTGCTGTGTTTTTGTTGCGACTTTGATCGCATTCTGGGCGCTAGCTAGGATTTATTGCGTTCGATGTCGATGTTTGTAACGAAAATAAAATTGTATGATCGCCGGCTTGGAAATTTATTTCCGCTTTATACACATTTAATTTAGATAGCATTTTTTTGTGCCAAAATTTCTCGTTTCTATTTTAGGCACATAAATAAATAAAATGTTTGTATTATATAACATTGTCAGAGTTAGAAGTGAGATTTTGATTGACAGCCAAACCCTAACCAATTAATTCAGATTCAAAGCCTAGATGGAAACGCCACCACTAGTCGTAGTGATAATGGTAACAATGAAGAACAAAAAGAAATACACTCTGGGCTTTCTCTGTTATGTGAGCTTTGTGAAAGAAATGGAGATGTTTTGGTGTCTACTGTATTGGTCAAGTTGGTAGGCCAAGGGGGTAAAGTTGTAGAATTTGGGGCTCTTTTGGACAATGAGTATCTCGGCTCAATTTAATCACAAGACAGTTATGTCATCAGCCTGTTGCCGACCTCCACAATATCACTGAAAGGAACATGCTCATCTATACATATAGCAGACAAGCACTACTCACCCTGAACAGACCACGAATTTATTCAGGGTTAGTACTAGAATGTCACGAAGCTTTGGTCGAGGTATCCATCAACAATCTGGTCACCTTAAGATGGATCAAAAGTCACGCCATATTGAAAGGTATTCGCCTTGCTGATTCACTAGCCAAGAAAGCAGCCAACCAAATACGTTTTGGACCTGGCCCTTCTATTGGCCTGACAAAATCGGTAGTAACAGACCTAATTAAAGAACGTCCCCTTGTGAAAGTCATGGAAAGATGGGATGAAACAAGAAACTGCAGAGTTTTCAGGGAGCTCTTAAGTTATCGTGACAAAACTTCATCAAACAAACACTTGACTATGACTAGACAGAATCTGCGTCTGGTCACAGGCACTCTGACTGGTCATTGTCAAGTACGGAAGCATCTCCATATCATGGGGCTGTCAGAATCCGCACTCTGCAGAAAGTGCGAACAAGAAGATGAGACAATCGAGCATATCCTTTACGATTGCTCGACGCTCTCATTTATTAGAAGATTTGTGTTCGGCGAGAATCGGCTAACACCGGCCGATATAAGAGAAGCAACTTTTGGCGACGTTGTCAACTACATTAAATCTGTAGGCTGGCTCACGAGCTAGGAGGTGCCTATCATCTTAGGAGGATGCACAATGGGCCCAATGAGGCCTAAGTGCCGTGGGGGTAACCCACCCTCCATACGTTACAGATATCATCAGCTTAATTGTTCTATGGAAAAGGTGGATATGATTTTTATAAATCAGTCAATCTTAATTATTAAGGGAAGATGTTAAGTACAGGTGAAGTCTTTTTGTTCTGACTTTAAACTAAATGTCTCTTGTTTAGTAATAGACAACATTAGTGAAGTTTTACCTAGTCAAATTATTAATATTTCTCATTTATAAATCCCTAGTCATTTGAAGTTAGCAGAATATTATTCCAAATTCAAAATCACTGATCCACTCATCCACTCTGCCGTAAACGCATCGACAAATTTAGGTTAACTTATCAATGATAAATAGTTATATAGATTGCTCATGTAAATCAGACATCGGGATAGAATAAAGTAGAGACGACATAAACACTAATTTACAAGATGGACGCACTTAGAGTGACGGAAAGTGTAATCAAAATAGGGGCTTCAGTAGTACTTTTATTTCTTTGAAGTCAATTTTATATCTAAAGACTGACCTAATGAAAATTTAATATCATTTAAATGAAGCTATTTAACAAAAATGGCATTTATTTTCACCAAAACTGATTAGCTCCATTATCTCGAGTTTGACATATGACGTAAAAATTTAATGCAAAGGTGTGAAGACTTTATCATCGTTATAGCATCTCTTCTTTATTTTCTTAATGAAAAGCGGGTTTCACTGGGCAAATTTTTGTCTATATCTAATACATGCAATGTTTTGTCTCAATTTTCAGTAATCAGTTATAAGTTATAAACAGCTTCAGAGGCATTAAAGTACTGATAAGTAATTTATAATGAGTTCCTTCGCAAAGTACTCACAATAAGTATCTAAGTATCAGAACCTACTTATGCTGTGTTTGAATGTCCACATCCGATGCATTTTTTACATTTCGAAAGTTTATTTATCCAGATAAGACACATTTGTCCTACCATATTTTCGTATTTTGAATCACGTGACCAAAGATTCACAACATCTCAGATGCATCCGATGTGGATATTCAAACGCAGCATTATATGAATAATTCTTAAAAGAAATGAGCACTTTTGTAAATTTTAGAGAGTACTTGTGAAAAAATTGAGCAACGAGTATAAGTATGTTAAATGATTCTAGTTAGTGATTAAAAATGTTTAAAATATGTATCACATCCATGAATTCTTCGTTAGTTAATTATAATTTAAATTTATGCTTTTCCGTGTAAAGTACATTCTGATTTTTCTAATGTACATCTTCGTATTTGTATGCATGATATTGTGAATATTAATTAATCTTTTAATACCTAAAATTCAATCAACCTATATGTAAATGGATTCGCATTTATAATCAATACATTTTTGAACAGTCAGCTCTAAACACCATCTTACCAAATAATACTTCGTAATTCTAACAGCTCACACCACACATATGCGTAGACCAGCCTAAGAACGAACAACTTACTGACGAAAGCATACTTCGTCACTTGGAAGATAACGAAACTTACAAGTATCTTGGTGTTGATTAACACCGAATGAATGACACTAACAACGTCAAAAAACGCTCCTTAGTAAGTTTAGGCAGCGTCTCCGGAAAATATGGGAATCTTAGCTTTCCGGAATCAACAAAGTTGCTGCCACTAATATGCTTGCCGTTCCTGTGCTCTTGTATTCATTTGGCGTTCTCAAGTGGAGGCAAGGGAAACTACGGTAACTGGATGTAAGCAAACGCAAGATGATGCATATGAACGAAAGCATCCACCCACGCTCATCGGTCTCACGCATTTACCTTCCACGTCATCAAGGGGGCAGAGGTCTTCTGAGTCTGGAGAGGTTACATGATAGATTAACTGCGAGTTTGGCTTTCAAGATAGCCAATAGTGCGGACCCACTACTGCAGCTGTTTCAAGACCATGAAACAACTGGTATCGGGGTTTTTTTAAGGTTGCAGGTAAAGCTGAGGATGAACTAGGTCTCAGATTTAAAATAGATGACAACCAATCTCTTACAAGATTAGAACCCGCTCAAGTTAAACGTCTAGTTAGGGCAACATAATAACAGCTGCTCTTGGAAGATCACTCAACAAACCCCAACACGGTGTTTTTTACAGGAACATAGAAGATCTTAATCTATCTCGGAAATTAACTATCTTCTTTCTTCGATCAGCTGCCTTGAAGTATCAGATTTTTGTTAGCTTCACAGGATGGCGTAATTAATACTCTCGTATACCGCGCTCAATTTACGCATGTGGCGTATGTCAGATGCACAACATACCAACAATACCTGGAGACATTAATGCATCTTTTGTCCGCTTGCCCGGTGCAAGCTTCTATAAGTTTCACCGTTTTTTTTGCTAATATATGTACAATTTTCAATACAGCAACTCCGTTTGCTTATTGTATTGTTTTTACCTACTTTTTTGAAAAAAAAAGTAAAATGTATACGTGTATTTGATATGCCAAAATTACAAAATATCGCCCTAAAATGAATGAATTATCCGCAGCTAGCGCTAGTATCGCTTTTGCTTTCCTTTCCATGACTTCGCACGGAGCGAATAGAGGATCGGAATACATTTTTAATGGATCTATAAATATTTGATGATTGTTCTTGCAACCGGCTGCTGAATTTGTTTTTCAGAGGTGCAAAGTATTATAAATGATACTTAGAAGTGGCAATGATATAGTATATTACATTACGAGTGTGGAAAGTGACATTTTTCACACGAGTAAGAAATAATGTCGCACGAGGCACAAGCCGAGTGCGACTATCACACGAGTATGGAAAATCACTTTTCACATAAGTGATGTACAATATTTTTCCTACGACCGCAAAATAATTTCATCAAAAAATGTAAAACCAGGTTATTATAATAAAATGTTTTTAAAAAAATAATCAACAATATTCGTATTTATTCAATTTTCATATTTTCTAAACAAAAAAAAAAAAAATAAAAAAAAATAAAAAAAAATAAAAAAACAAAAAAAAAATTGGCCCCGCCAGTATTTGAACGCGGTTGCTCGCCAGGTCTCAAATGGCAAAGTTGATAAGTTTGACGCTGTAACCATCTAAGCTAATAGACCTTTCGTCAATTGAATGATCTAAACGGTTATGTGTTTAACCAGAATAAAAAGCAAACACATCTTAGTTATTTTAAAATTATTTTAATTATAATTGGTAAAGATAAATATCTAGGATCTAATTTACAACAATTTCAATAATTTAACAATCATATCGATTTTAGTATTAATATAGACATTACGTGGATCAAAATAGAAATGATGTGTTTGACATTTTGTGACAGCTGCTGCGGAAAGTAGCATATTCGTATACGAGTGGAAAGTAAATTCTTATTCATACGGGTGTGATATAGGGCACTTTCCATTGGACTATATAGTGTGATATGTGTCACTTTCCTAAGTGGTTGTAGGAAAAATATTTTTCAATATTCAATTTATTTTTACGTGATTTAGAGAAATCCAGCTTTATCGAGTCTAAAAAAGTGATTTTAGAAATATGAAATTATATTTAGCATAACTTGATCTAAATTTACTAATTTTGTTTTTTACGCAGCATTTATTATTCATTTTTAAAGTTTAATTTTATAAAATTAAAAATATCTAATTTCTGATTATGTCTATTCAAGAGTCAAACAAAAATAAAAACAATGCAATACTAAATATATTTTGTCTATTGCTTTTAATAGATTTCTTTTCTCGGTTAAAGGAAATTTTTCTAATTGGATCAGACTCAATGAGATGGGGATCGTATATTCAAATATATGAAAATGAACATTACTCTATATCTGACTGTATTTAAAAGAAAATAATAGAAATATATTGGATAGGAAAAATATGTGAATATTTTAATACATGAAAAATTGGGCTGGTACCAAAAGTAAAAAGCTTTTAGATATAGTTGAAATTAGACCTGTTTAATGTGTATTATCAAGGCCGTTTCAAAAACTTTCTTTTGCACAGCTTAAATATCATGTAGATTGGCGCAACTTGCTATCATAATGGCAATCTGGGTTTAGGGCAGATTTTGCAGCGACTAATGAAAATAAAGTTACAGTACTACCATCATTAGATTACAGATATACATGATTTATATACAAGAGGCGTAAAACACCTGTTTATATTTATCAAATAATATAAGGTTCTAACCTTTTTTTATATTTGAAATACATCCCAATTCCATCACGAAACTGATTTAATTTTTTTCCTAGAGACAATATCAAGAAAAGCTGCAGTTCGACGTGTGGTACATTTAGCCAATACACTACAACACCGCCGACAAGCTTCCCCACTCCAATCTACTCCTCCTCTTCGCTGCGAAGGTATCTACCGCCAACTACATCTTCCGTCTACTCAGCCAAAGAGCTTCCCAGGGTGTCCGAAGACGCGGAAAAACATTTTCCCGATCTCATAGAAGGATCACCGAATAGTAAACCTTTCGATGTGAAATATTTTAGTGCGTCTCGGGCGGCTAGTGACAGTGGCAGTGTATCGGATATAAACGAAATTTTCTGTACTTTACCGAGGAAAAAGGAATTAGTGCATTCTTCGAGATATAGGAGTAATGACAGTCAAACGCCTTTGTTAGCTGAAAGCAGATATGGTGAGTATGAAGGGTAAACCAAACACCTTAAAAACTTTTTAATACCCACTGAAAATTTAAGATTAATTGAAAACTTAAGGTTTTTTCCAACAACAATCTTGGAACCATACATAAACCAGTCAACAACCTATTGTCGACGACCGATAGTCGAGGATTGGGACTCAATTCGGAACTTAGATGTATTAGATGGCGCCTTTTGGCTTACAGGTGAGGAAAACCCAGAAAATTCCACCCACCTTCATCGAAACGGTAGCGCATGGTGATTTATAATCTAGATGTCATATCAACAAAAATTGAACATATCCTATACTAAACCATGCAAAATTAATTAAAAATTCACATGGTCTGGTGTAGGATTCGATGCCGCGTGTCCTTCTATAACAAAATTTCTTGTAAATGAATGCAAGCGCCTAAGACCATTACGCCACTAAGACGATTCAGATCCAGGAACTGATTTGATAGTACATAAACTGCTTTGTGATTGGTTTGAGTGTGTTGGAACAGTAGGTTTTTCTACAGTTTTAAGTCCGTAGTTTGATGGAACACCAATTTTAGACTGCGCAGAGTACCGACAGTACGTAAACCAATTTGTTATTATGTTGGAACAAACCTTTAATTAGGGAATTGGATGCTTTTACCGGATTAATTTCGCAGCACCGGTCAATGTGTGCAATTAAACTGTTGCTTGTATTTTGTTTTTTGACACATTGTGATACAGATAAAAATTTATTTTCTTTTATAGTCGGTTATTGGCGAAGAAAAAAATTATACAAAAATAGTGACTCGAGTTAAGGTTTTTTGAAAGAAAAACCGTTTTCTAATAAAAACTCTTTAATTCCTGAACTACAACGTTACAGTGTCGAAAGTACAAAGAATAATCTAAAGAATCATTGAAATAAACAAGTTACCTATATTTATAAGTTTTAAAGTGCTAACTAAGCTAAAGAAAAAATAATATTTACTAGGCTAATTCTGTACATATAACTCCTTCCTTCCTAAGCTGAGAAGATCAGGGACTTATACTTTGAAGTTTCTGGATTATTTTCTTTTCTTCTTAATTCTAATTCTATTTCTTTTTATTCATTTGTAGATTCTCTTGCTTCTTTTCAGTGAGAACATATCTTCAATTGTAGCATTTCTTTTCTTCTTTTCCATATTAAATAACTAGCCAGGCATAAGATGATAATTATAATAATTGATATTGATTTAGTTTTATAAGGATTGTCTATTACTTCTTCAACTGGTTTTAGATTTTTAGCAGTTTTACTTATACCATATACATTTTCACAATTGACTTTAGTTATATTAGCTTTATGAAATTGAATTGGCTTCTTCATATCTTCTATTTCGAATTTTGGTAAAATCAGAGGCGTTCCTTCTTAGATCTATAACGTGCATTTTTAGCCATATGAATTACTAAAGAAAAATTCGAGTCACCTTGTTTAATTATACGAAGAAAAGTTAAAAGGTTATTTATTGCTGATAAGCTTTTAAATCCATTATTTTTGTCGTAAACTGGCTGTATGTATTGTTAGCCTTTATTATAATTTAAGTGATGCTGTCAACAGATACACCCTACTATGGTGTGTGCACTATGCCTGCTAATTTATTTAATTAAAATTCACTTGCTAAACAAATGTTGTTAAGGTATTCTGAACATTATTTATACTTTTGTGCACAGAATGTTCTTGTGGGTTTTACTTTAATAACTTATGTGTTACCAAATATTTCATCATTTAATTAATTAAGCACTATTTCAAGTTTTTTCTCGGTCTGGGTATTGACCATAAATATCTCGAGATATAAGGGCTACGTTCACCATTTTAATTTTTAGATTTCTGAGTCTAAAGTCCTTATATGTGCTTATTACTTTTTCTTTTTATTTTGTTTTGATTTATGATTAATTATAAAATTTCATGGTTTATAATTTTTCTTATAAATAATTTGGTCTTAACTATTAGTTAAGCAGGTAGCTTCTTCTAATTTGGAGGGTGTTAAAGGTTTATTGTGTTTTAACATTATGCGATTGATGTTTAGATATAAGATATGCACATGATTATTTATTTGTTCTTTTTTTTTTGTAAAAGGTAGAAATTAAGATTTCACTATCTACGCAAACGTCCTTCGCCTGGTACCAAGTAAACAACCGATCAAGTCATCTGTTGATGAATTTATTTTCTTTTGGGTTCATGCATATGTCATATATGACATACATTATTTTAATTTCGTACCTAGCCACGTTAGTTTATTTATGCATTCATCAAAAGCCATAAGGTAATTTATTTACAGGGTTATTGAGCAATTTAAATATTGTATGTCTTTTTTTTGAGTCAATTCTTAAACTCAACTATTTTTAAGACTGGTTTCTCAATTTTTAAATATTGATTGAATTCGCAAGTTGAAAGTATTTTTTCAGGTTTTAAGGGCATAAACAGGACTTCGTCTCTTGTGAGTTGTTGACTATTTGATTCTTTGATGCTTACATCTAAAAATTGTCAATTATTTGGATTATTTCCATCCAATAGTTGAAGGGTGCAAATATCTTTAGTATTATAATTTTATTTACAATAATATATTTTTTCTACTATTGCACATTCATGTTTTTCGAATTGGACTTCGGTTTTCTTCCGTGCCAAATAAGGGTACCTAATTAGGGATAAACATTTTGTCATTTTGGATAATAGGATAAGGGCGATAAAATTCATAGGAAACAGATTTCAAAGTAGAAATATGAATAGCAAATATTAGGTTTGTTTTAGTAAATGTTACTTGTGTATCCAGAATTTGATATTATGAAAAAATATTTTAAAATTTAAGAATTTGAAATATGTAATGTATTTTACTTTAAAAATGATATGGCATTTTATAAATTATCAAGTAGAGTTATTATAGTTTGACAGTCTAAATTTATTTGGGACAATGCTCTTTGAAAGTTTACAAAAGTTTCTAAATTTTTTATTTTCTTTGTTATTGAATATTGTAGTTTTTTTAAGAGTATCAGCAAGAGTGATCAATTAACCTTTTATAAAGTGACATTTGTAAATTTGTTTCTGCAATGATATTTTTCTGATTTTGTTGCAAATGTTTTTTAGCTTTATTATATCTTTCATCATCATCTGAGTCTAAATTTCCAAATAAATAACCATTTATTGAATTTTCCAAGACCATTGATTAAGCCTCTTTTATTTCTAATATATAGATGAATATTTCCTAATTTCTTTTGGGCAGTACTTATAAATATTTCAGTTCGTAGTAAATTATTTTGAGTAAGACCATGTATGATCTACACGAATAATAATATTTTTAAATGTTTCAAATTTTTAGTTAATTGCTGAACTTGTTCAATTATAGATTTTATGGCTATTGATTAGAAATTTTAAATACGTCTATGTATATGTTCAAATGGTTTTAAGGCTGTAGGCGTTAAATTAAATTTTACTATCGGTGGATTTCTATCATATTTATTTTCCTGACAAGTTTCGCAATTGTTTATATATTATTTAATATATTCCTTTATTTTTGGCCAATAATATCTAGAATTTAAGGTGGTATTTACTTCATTAATACCTCTATGTCCTGATTTATAAATATGGTAATATTTGATTTTAGTTTTTTGTTAATCAGTTGTTAAAATGTCTTAGAAATTTTGTAGAATGTATAAATTTAAATTCAAAATGGGTAAATAATAAATTTTGATTTTTAAAATATAAAGCATATGTTATTTTTGGATTAATATAATTTTTAACAAAATTAATAATTTGTTGTTCTAAGTTAATTTTAGATAACGGTACGTATATTCTAGAGTTTTCAAAAATATTTTTTATTCTTACTTATTTATTGATTCTCTCTCCAACTGTAACAAAAATTTGATTTTTAAAAGAGTTTAAACAATGTTTTAAAGAAATATTTAAATAAAAGTATGTTTATTTCTATCAAAACTAAATTATTATTGCTGTTTTTGAATCTTACGCTTTTTCTATCCGAGTTTGCAAAGTTTTTAAATTTTAATATCTTTCTATAATATCTGTAAGTTCTGGGTTTTATTATTTTGATTTTAATACTATTATTTGATGATAAAAATTTCTTTTTTTCGTTACAAATATTTGTTGTATTTATTTTAGTATTATTATGCAACAATGAACATTCTTTTTTATGATATGGATCTATTTGTGGAAGTTTTCCATCATTAAGATCATGTATTATATTGTGAGATAATATTTCGTTTGTTAAAGTATTTTTATATGAATAAGTATCGATTTGAAAATGATTATTAGTAGTTTCCAATTCAAAAAGATTATATAGATTTGTTTCTTGACAAATATCTTCTACGGATTTCGTTATATAATTTTTTTCTTCAGAGTTTATTTGACTGGTTCTAATTAATTTTGAAATATCAATTTTTTTTTAATTTTGGATTTTGTCAAATTTATTTTAAAAACATTCAGATTTTTATTGTTTATTTTCAGAATTTTGGAATTGTTTAGCTAAAATTGGACTATTTAATTTAATAGAAATACTTTTATCTATATTATTTTGAGCTTCTACTACAGCAAATACTTTTTTTGCGATTGTTATCATTCGAGGTAAATAAATATTTCCAAAATATGTTTTTTCAGTAATTATATCTCCATCCTGTATACTGACAGGTTATTTTTTTAAGAGTAATTCCCTACCATTAACGGAAAAGAAAAATTTATATCATTTGGTTGTCTATATTTAAAAGGAATTTCAACGTACGTGCCTATTAATTTGTTGTTTAATAAATCTTTATTTAAATTAATGTCAACTAGGTCAGTAAGACCAATAACACCATCGAAAAAGTCGTGAAAATCATGTAAAATGAAATTAATCACATTCTGGCAATGAAATTCTGTGAACGCTGAGCTATCTGCCCGATATCTGATTTGTTTACTCCCTAGCGAAGTCTTGAATGTTGTTTGCAAGGTAAATTGTGTTAGGAAAATATTTTTCTACAATAGATGGGTTAATTATGGATTTTG